TCGTCCTGCAGGCTGCAGGCAAAATAATAAGACATAATTCCAAAGCTTCTGTTGGTTCTGTGGTCTTCTTGGTCTGGCTCCTTCATCCTTTGGCATCCCATCGCCTGTGCAGTGTCCATATTATGCATAACTTTACAGACCTCTCTCTCTCTCTCGGTGTCCATTTATCCCTGTGGTTGCCATCAGGGTATTACGAACCTTAAAGATATCCAGTCGATGGGAAACTCAAAGGTAGTCTAACAAAAATAAATCATTTAAATAATTAATAATTTTATTTAGCTCTAGAAAGCAATAATAAAAAAGTATTTATATATTGTACAGAAGTAATAAACAAATAATTTTTGATTTATAAAAAAAAGTCTTTTACAAGCAATTTGAAAATAATAATACTCAAAATATTCAAGCATTTAATATTGTTTTGCCTCTGTGCATCTAATTTCCAACTATAACATACTCTAACTAGAAGGCAAAATGTTTTACCAACTTTTGTTTCCAATTAAAATCAAAAATCTATGCCAACTTACATAGTAATCAAGTGTGTGAAAGAGAGGGCTATAGTGTGGAGCCATAGAAAGAGACAGGAGTAGCGTAGGTATTTCTTACATTTTATGGCCAAATTCAATGCTGGTAATTAACTCTGAAAATCCAATTATGGCAAACTTTTCCCAAAGTCTTCGTAGCTCCATCTCCGTCCACATCTTGCCGTCTCTCTCGTTCGCCCTGTTGCTGTCTCTTTCTTCTCTTTCTGACATGTGTATGTGTGTGGCAAGGTGTCTGTGTAAGTGCGAAGTTGACTGGCTGTGATTGTGTGGGTGCATTTATAAGTGATATGCAGAACATGCAATTAACAAGGGCAAAATTCACTGCCGTAGAATTGGTCTTGTGCTCTGAGTTTACACTGAAAAAAAATCATATATTAATGTATAATAATCAAAATTAAATACTTTAATATAACATGAAAATGTCAAGGAAATCACTAAGATTTTGAGAGGTGCTTAAAAGTATGCAGTAAATTTAAAAAAAAACGGTTGGTTTACTTTCATGTATCTGTAAAATAGATTTAAAAACCCCGGAAATATCTATGGCTCCTCCTTTTTTTAAGTAGTTCTTTCTGCAATAAAGAAACTCTACTTACAAACTGATTTTTGTTATCTGTGTAGGTTCTTAGTTCCCTTCTCTGGGTTCTCGAGTTTCCCCAAAGGCAGCCACAAAAGAGCTCACAGCTTGGGGTTTCCCACCACCTCCACCGCCCCCGTTTATGCCCCTTTGCCTTCGTCATTGTTTCCATTTTAATATAATTCCCACGTCATAATTGCGTATTGTAGCTGCTGCAGCAACAGAGAAGCTTCACTGTACCGAAAGGTGTTGGTCTGAGAATTCTCGGCCCGAAGTGAGACAACAATGTGCCCATTGCAAAGGCCGTTGACCAAATGTTCTAGAAAATTTTCCAGCTTTTGCCATTCGGGCGTAATCGAATTGCTTCCCTTGAATTGGACAGCAGAGTTTCTAGAGAAAATATACATACATTTTCTGAGTTCGGCAGAAAATCGAGGAAAATACAAATTAACTAGATGATGCGAAAATCTGTTGTGTTAGATAATTTTCTAGTTCAATTATTTTCGAGCAAGTAAGAAGCTTATGTGGGCGAGTTTTGCAAGATTTGCAAAAATCCGAATTTTGAGAATGGAATTCTTAAATTGTTACAACATTCGTTTAAAGCTAAAAATAAAATGTTTGTTACTTTACCTTTCTTCTTTTAAAGAATCTTCATTTGAAAGTAAAGTAAGCAAAGTTAAAACGCAATCTAAAATGAGTTCTCTTTGCTGATGAATCTCTTAAAACTTGATTCTTCTGCTTTGCTTTCCAAGTTATTTGAAGAATCTCCGAGTTAATGGGCAAATGTTCATTAAATACATAAATAAAAACTTGGCTGCTTCCGTTGCGTCTGTCCTTTCGGGCTCCATTAGCTTTTAGTTGGGATAAAAATGTAAACTCTTGACCCTGTCCTGAGCGGAAATTGAATGTTTTATTTTAGCCTTTCACTTTGGCTGCCTTTGCACTCGTCGCTGCTCCTTTTGCGTATTATTTTTAATTTCCAGCAATTATAAGAAATTTTTCTTTCAGCTTTTCCTTCGTGTGCGCCTTTTTTAACGATAATTTAATTAGTTGCAAGTTGCTGCCGTTGGTTGGCCATTGCCTTTTTCACCGCTTTTGCATTCGCCCCATTAATTGCACTTAACATTTCGTGAATTCTTAATGTCAGACAATAAGAGAGGCGAAATCGAGAAAATATAAGGAAGCGTTGACATTTCTTCTTTAAACGTTTCGATTAATCAGACATTGATATGATCGAATGGCCAGGCTTCGATTTTAATTCATTTTATTTAAATGGTGACATCAAATATTCCCGAATTAATATTTATTTTAAGGCAACTCAATTACCTCAGCAAGCTGGAACCAAGTTTCTGAATTAATCATCAAAATACTGCGTTTTTTATACTCTAGGCACTCCACTATAGCATGACAACTTTTTGCTGATTGCTTGGTACGCCTTAAAATTATCGCATATTTTCTAAAAATATATTCATTATTAGTTTTATCACTAAGTCCGTAAGGGCTCTTCGTATGTTTGAATTTTTACTGTTATTCAGTTGCAAATATTCGCCACTACGCTCTCAAAATCCTCAAGCTTGGATTTTACTTTCTGTTCGCCTCTGTTGCGTGTAATTTGTATGGGATGGTTAAGTCCCAGGATAATAAGGATTCAGTTTGTATCCTAAAGGATGCTCCAAATCAATGTGGAGCATTTTGTCTTGCCGCCCATGCTCCATTTATCAATCACAATCATCAGATTCGGCAGCAGTTGAATATAATTGCTCAACAACTAAAGGAAACTCAGGAGAAGTTGGACAGAATTGAAGCCAAGATGGATAAAAGAGCTGCAGAAGTAGAGGAGATCACCCATCTACCAGTAAAGAAGTCCATTTCTCCACTTTTTGAGCAGATAGGATCAAGATATTTCTATATCGAAAAAAACATTAAAAAAAATTGGACCGATGCGGAAGGCAGCTGCCGTGAAATGGGAGGACATCTAGTGGTTTTTCAAAATCGAAACGAGTTTCTTGCTATGAAACTAAAACTTTGGAGTCTTAGCCATTATTGGCTGGGAATTAACGATCAGGAAGAAGAAAGAAATTTCGTTTCGGTAGCTTCTGGAAAGCCTGCACCCTTTTTGTACTGGAGAAAGGCAGAACCGAATAATTTGGAGGGCATGGAGGACTGCGTTATCATGTTTGACGGCCGAATGTACGATACAAGTTGTACTTATGAATTATTATTTATTTGTCAATCTGACGATAAAGTTTAATAAATAATTAATAAATATTATTTACAGAACTATTATCATGTAAATTATGTAATAGTTGCATGAAATAAATAATATTGTAATGCACAAATCCATGCTTCATATCTACCCAAATGTTGACCCAAAGTATTCTAAAGGATAATTCAGTGGAACAGGACAACATCTGGCAATTTGCCTAAGTGCAGCGAGCTGAACTTCTTCGTCCCTTTCTCTTTCTTCCTGTCTAAAGTTTTTAATTAGAAACGCATCCTGCGAAAATGGACAGCACTAACTGTGTATCTCTCTCTTTCTTGCCCGTGATTTTACCCGGCTTTTCCCCTGGATTTTCCCCGCTTTTCCCCCTTTCCACCCCGTTAGGCAGTCAAGTGAAATGAGCAAAGAAATGCGTTGACAACCAGGCCAAAAGCTCTACAAAAGTAACTTTAATGGCAGACAGAGATGGCCAGAATAAATGAATGAAATGGGCACAGCGCCCAGGACTTGGAAAAATAACAAGAAACGAAACTTTTGACATAAATTCCCGGTCCCAAAAAAAGATAGAAAGCCCGAAAAGCGAAGGAGCCGTCAGAGTTGCCACCTTGACGTGTGACGCCATTATCAAGCGGATTAGATACGGATATTTAGGGGCCTTCAGCCGAGTGCCAAATTAATTTTAATGCGATTTTCATGGGCTGCATAACTTTTCTGGGGATTTAACGACTATTGGCGGCGGCGGCCCTAATGCAAATGTGCCGAGAGAAACGCAGACCGAAACAATCTTTAAATTTAGCACACAGACTCAAAACAGTCTGGAGCTGCAGCAGCTAAAATACAAAAATTTATTGCCTCTCAAACACTTTTTTTGCGCCACTTTTTTCTTTTTTTTTCTGGAGTGGCTTAAACGCCGCCTCATGCATATTTGATGCCAAATATAAAGCGGCTATAAATTCCACTCGAAATTTACGCACCAAAGTAAGAGTAATGCGCCAAGGGTCCACACACACAAAAAACAGAAAAAAAGGAGGAAAATGAAAGAAAAAGTGAGTCCCTGAATCCTTGGGATACGCATGTGTTCAAGGTGCGCTTAAAGGTAGGCAATGTATCTCAAAGTTTGTCGCCTAAGCATATGAAAAAGTTACTTGAAATTGTTTCCACTTTTTCCTTTTTATTCGAAGTACTCCCTTTTTATTTTCCTCTTTTGTTTTTCCCTTGACAAGTTGTTGAGGTATAATGCATTATTAAGAATTAAACAAAAATTGTTGTCCTTTGTTTTTCTTATGGGTTCGGTTCTCTTATATTTTAAACCGATTTTTCTCCTTTATTTTCGGTGAAGAAAGAGCAACAGCTGATGAAAATTTCATGAACACTGAAAAGGTTCTTATGTCGTCGGTTTTTTGGGATTGAAGTGAAAAGTTATGATTCTTTTCGGTTTAAGCCTTATGAAAATGTGATAAAGTTGTTTCGTGTGGTGGTCAAGAATTTCAATTATTCATGGGAAGGCAATTATTTTTGGGGTCGCCTTCGGAAATTTTCACCTAGGGGAGGCAGATTTTATTGTTAGGATATTCTCTTTGTTTTAAGATTTTTACAAAGATATTTTTAAAGTACCAAAAACAAATCTTTATTAATGTTTACATATTCACCTTTATCTTTGCAGCTCTTGTAGCGCTGAGTTCCACGATTCTGGCCGATGAATCAATCGACACACGTGAGAATGCCGACTTAACCCTAAAGTGCCGGTTTAACGACAAGTACGAGTCGAACGACTTTTCCTTTTTTTGGACCCGCTGGACGGCGAATCCTGCCCAGTTCGATAACGTGGCCATCGGCGATGTGCAGTTGAGTTCCGGCTATAGGTGAGTAATCGAAATCATGATTATTATTATCAATAGTTTTTTTAAAGTTTTTATATATAATGTAGTTAAGCCTTTCGATTAAATATAAATTAGGACTATTTTATTTGTCAAATTTAGCATTTATCGATAAATTCGATATAATCGATTGTTTTCACTATCGATGTTTTGCAAGCCTAGTGAGTAGTGGACATCGCATTACGACCTAGCAACAAGGATGATAATTGCGGCAATGGCTGGCTTTGAGGGATGTTAAATGCTGTCCATAAAGCTGATGTCCTTAATGGGTAAATGTGAATGTGTGTGTGCGTGGGGTCGTAAAGTGAAACGTGAAGGGGAATCCCCGCCGCCACTGTCCTTTTGCGGCATTAACGGTTATCCTTCCGCCGGCCGAGAAGTACAGTTTATCCCCGTAGCAGCAGCAACAGCAGTTGGCAGCCATTTGTTAAGTTAATTAAATGTTTCACACTCCTTCTTTCCCTCTTTCCATTTCCCCGACCTGGATAATGCGATTTATGCATGTGACTGACTGGGCTGGCAACTTAATTAAAATCAAGTTCTTGGCAATTTAAACAAAATGCCAGGCGAGTGAAACAGTTAAGTCCGAACTTGGCCATCGGCTTAAAAGGGACTTATGAATATGAATATAAATAATATATCGATTCAAATATTTACCGATAAGTAATTAAAATCAAATTTTAATGGATGTAGTTAAAGATTTTATAAAATTTGTATGGTGTAATATGAACAATATATTTAATTATTTTAATATTATAATTATTTTATTAAAACTATCGTTTAGTAACTATCGTCGTGAGTCCATCTCTATCGACCATGTCCTGACTTAATCCTTAATGTCAACGCCGCGTGTTGCATGTTGAGACATGCATATTCACCCACACATGGCCTTCCGCCTATTGGTGTTTGTGTTTATGTTTCATTTTCATTGCCCCCGTTACCATCCCCAGATTTCAATTGTATTTTTATTCGCCTGGTGCCTGCGACTTCCGTTTCCTGTTGGCCGCCTGCTTTTTAATGTTCGGTTTGGTTTCTTTATGTGGCAACGCATAAATTTTAAGTGCCAACTGTGCCGCACGGACCTCCATACATCTTCTTCTTCCCCATCGTCGTCTTCCTCTTCTTCCTCGCGGAAAATGCAACCCTCCGTCCGTTTCATTCCGTGTCGTTTCGTTTCCGTTCCATTCCGTTTCGTTTCATTCCCTCTCACAGCTTGCCAAATAAAATGGCCACAAGCCAGTTTTCGTATAACGCCATATACATTTTATGGATGCACTTGGGAAATTGATTTTAATAAATATAAAAAATAAAATTATTTATAAATCTTAAATAGAATTCCTCAAAAATAAATACATTTTTCCTTAAATTTCCAAGATACTTTAAATATTTTGTAACTCCAAAATATTTTTTTCTCTGCACTGAGCAAGAGTGTGGGCATAATAAAAGCAAATCAACAAATAGAAAGGCAGCATAAAGAGGCGCTTGGTGGGCCAAAAGAAATCGCGCTGCGGGCCCAGGCAAATTGTAAAATATATTTTTACTGCAATTTGTGTCGAAAGCTAACAAGGAGCCCGAAAACAAGCAGCCAACAAGGACAAATATCAGGACAGGAGAACACGGCTCAAGGAGACCCAAACGAAACTGGCCACATAATGAAGGCGGGGGGAGATAGTACCAAAACCCAAGCCCAATCCCAAATCCCAATCCCAAACCCAAAAACCCCCCTGGAAAATTCCTATCTGTGCAAAAGTGAAATTACTGCAAATTTGCTGGCAATGCCAAACAACATACACAAAACAAGAAAACAAAAAAATTACAGAATTTTTTCTCTGGGCCAAAATGTCGCGACAGGTCGAAGGGACCAAAAAAAGAAAAGCTCTGGGCTAATATTTCGCTGAACATTTAATTTAACGAGACATCAGGGGAATGCTCTTCTCACAGAGATTGAGAAACAATGAGTGCGCCATTTATTCCCTCGAATGCGAAAATTTCACTTGAGGAGGGATTTTGCCAAGGGAAAACAAACGATTGCAAGGAAGGCGAGGAAAATCTGTTGGAAAATCAGTTCAGCTATCTTCAATCGGAACAAATGTTTGGGCATAAACAGGATAGCTGAAATATGTTTTTAATTTTACAAATAAATGTTCTAATTGGAGATCGCTATCAGTGATTTACATTTCAACTTTAAACATTAAACATTTTTTTCAAAAAATTTTTAATCAATAAAATACCTTTTTGATGTACGTATCAATTTTTTTTATAATATTTTTTTTAATAACCAAAAGAAATTTGCCTTACTTTTGAGTGCCATCTTCCTTTTTTTGCGAATAATTGGCGGCCGTTTAAGGTTACCCTCAGTATAATAATAACAAAAAATAAAAACTTTTTGCTTTTGCCCAGAGGGAGCGACAAAAAAATAAAATAAAAATTGCGAATTGAGGACGGCACTGTGGTAGCAACAACAAATCACAAATTGCAATGCAGGAGCACAATTTTCCGAGTAGGAGGCGGTGGGGTGATATAAATAAGACTCAGGGCCTGCTGGGGATAAACTTGAAAATTGCAACAAGAATAAGGCCTTTATACCCCTGGAGTCCTTTTTTGGATAACGCTCAAGGACACGGGTCCCTTTTCCCCTCCCATATTTTTCTGGCTTTCCTCGTTTAAAGCGCTTTTCATTTGCCAATAGGAAGTGATGGGAAGGGGTCGGGGAAAATCGAGGGGATTCCCCAGAGCGGCGGCAATGACGATGACGATGACTGCGCTTTGCCAGCAGTTTTTATAATTTGCACTTTTTTATTTCCACCGAGCACGTGTCCTGAGAATTCTCTCTATCCCAGCTGCAAATGAGCAAGTCGCCAGAGACTCGGCCCCAAAAAGCAGATATATATGTATATCTAAAAGGGGGCCAGGGAAAGTGAGGAAAGTGGAGAAAGGCAGGAGCAGCAGCTGCAAATAGAAAAATACTCGTAGTAATAAAAAATAAAAGAAGGAAAATTCAACTAGACAAGGACACGCGGTTTTTTTTTGGGCGGAAAAAGGAGATGAGCGGCCAGTCAGTGGAGAATTCAGTCAATTTGCTGTGTGCTGCAGAGCCAAAAAAGTGGGACACATGTACTAAAAATTACGAAGGGTAAAGGCCTTAAATAAATTGACAAAGTATTTTATTTTCTATTACAAAAATATTTATTTTTGAAAACTTTAATATTAAATTCCTTTAAAATTCCCCAAATTTTTTAAATACTTTAAAGATTTCGGAGCTTAAAAGTTTTATTTTTATTTTTACATTTTTACATATATTTCTCAAAATGTAAATATTTATTAATATTGTTTAATCCTAATATTTAATTTTTAATTTTTCTCTTTATTATTTGAAATGGGTTTTAATGAAAAACCACTAAAATGTCTTAGATTTTTGTCGAGTACATTTTAGCAGTCCTTTAGATTCTTTTAGTACTTGAATCCTTCTCCCTTCTTCCCTGAATTTTTTGGCCAGTCTGCGCATTTTATTTAGGGATTTCAAGAGCAAGAGACCAGGGCAGTTACACTATTTTTTTGTTCGTCCTTTTACGGTTTGCTGCTTGGCAAATTAAATTTTCACACAGACGCGTGTTTTATTTTCCCGCTCTCTATTTTTTTTTGGTCGTACCACTGCGGTTTTTGCAAGCAATTAGCACACGAGTAAAATGAGTGAGTAAATAAAACGAACTTCTCTGACCAAGCTAATCAGTCTTAGCCCTAAGCCTCTCCAATTAGAATCGCAAAATGTCTAGACTGAAAAGTGGACAAAGCTGAAATTTCAAAGATGTCCCAGAGAATCCGAGGATAAGTGCCAGCAGCCACCTCGCTAAAAATCCTCGAGATGAGAAGCAATTTCAGTGTCAGTCAAAAGTCCACTTGCAGCTTGACAAATGAACTCGGCAAAAGTCTCGGGGAAATGGAAAATGAAAATCGTATCTGCGGGATTTCGGGGGTAGGGGGTATAGGGGCATCATCTTGTTTGCCAATCTAATAAACTGCTGACTGACCGGCGTGGAAAAGCCAAGAATCCAGCGAAGCGCATTCGGGCGGCATCAATTTTCAGTAGTTGTCCGGGACAACGATGACGACCAAATAATCATCATCGGGGCATCATCATCCTATTGAAAAATTGTGAAAAATCGCAGCGTAAAACGAGGACACTGAAGTGGCCTTGAAATATTAAGACATTGACAAAATGAAGCCAGGAAAAGTGAAGTGGGGGGAAATGAATGTCTGACAGAAACCAAAAAAACGGAAAATTGACAAACTTGTCCCTGTCGATTCTTTCTTTTTCTTGTTTTTATTTTGATAGATAAAAGAGGAGCAAATTTCCGATATATTGAATACCGAACTAAAGACGTGATTGGGCTTTAAGATTAGGCGAAAACTTTGTTTGGAACCCCAAGAGAATTTAATCAATCAATGGCAAAAATTTAATTAAAACGGAAGCTTGCTTGAATGCAAAATTCCATTTGGTAAAATCAATAGCCATAAATTGAAAAGTTTCTTCAGATCAAAAATGTCACACACGAATTATGAGGAAATAAACTTAATTTAATGCTTCTCTAGCTTGTATTTATTTATTTGGGGAACAAACAAAAAGTTTCACAAAACACCTTGAACTTTTCTTGCCAAATTTAATATCTTTTGATTTTCCAATTATACAATATTTTTTGCAATTGATTTGGTTTACGGGGCTGCAAAGCAATTACGCCATAAGAACCCCTCAGAGCCTAATAGTCCGGCACATAACAATAACAATAAGGTAAATATCAGGAAAATTCCAAAGGCTCTGTGTGAAAATTACTTTGCGTTTTTTGCCTTGTTTACCTTTCACTTGGGTTGGCAGCCCAGCGTCTGAGATCCAGGTTCTTATTGAAAATTGTCTAGGAAAAATATGCAAACATTTATTCGAACGTTGATTTTATTTATATTGGTTCCCCGTCCACGTTCCCCCATTGAATTTCGTCCTGCTGTCGCCTCCTTCGTCAAATATTACCATTTCGTATTTATTTATATTACGAGCGTTTAAAGTTTGGCCACCTGCGGGCAGAAAAACAGGAAGCGAATCAAGGACAAGAGTGGGAAAATCCAATATTAGCACAATTAGTGATGGCTACCCAAGAGAGAGAGCGGAAAAGTTTTCAAATAAAAATAAATTGATTTCGAGGCAAATGAAAATTAATTGACTGGATTTTGACATTTAAGCTTTGAAGTTTGGTTCCTTTTCTTCTTACCCGCAAAAACAACCGAAAAATAAGCTTAAATTTGGTTAAATTGGTATTTTGATGGGCTTATTGGTTTAAGTATTTATACGATTTTCATGTTGAATATTTTTAGATATGCAAATAATAATATATTTATTAAAAAATACATATTTCGTATAGAACTCCGAACTAATTTGATTTTATTTCTTTTCTTCCAGACTCGACTTTCAACCGGAGCGCGGCATTTACGATCTGCAGATCAAGAATGTGTCCTACAATCGGGACAATGGACGCTTCGAGTGCCGCATCAAGGCCAAGGGAACGGGAGCTGATGTCCATCAGGAGTTCCACAATCTCACAGTCCTCACACCACCACATCCACCTGTGATCTCGCCCGGCAATATAGCCGTGGCCACCGAAGACAAGCCCATGGAGCTGACATGCAGCAGCATCGGCGGTTCCCCCGATCCCACCATCACGTAAGTTTCAGCTCTCAATTTATAAGTATTTTGTTTGAAAATACTTGTCAAAATGTAGAAAAAATTTTGTAAATCGGACCATTTACTAAAAAGTTATGAGCAAAAATTGAAACAGCAGCTAGGTGGCGCGAGTAGTTTTGATGACTGCATCCCTCGCACTTAAAGTTCTCGGCTATAACGTTCTCTATTTGTTTTTATATACATATTTTTAACAATTATAATACATTTTTTAATATTTAATATATTCCAATATATTTACCTTTTTTTTTTTTAAATAGTTGGTATCGCGAGGGTTCCAATTCCCCACTGCCAGCAACTGTTCTAAAGGGCGGCACTAAGGATCAGCCCACCAATGCCACACTATCCATCATCCCGCGAAGGGAAGATGATGGTGCCAAGTACAAATGTGTAGTCAGAAATCGTGCCATGAACGAGGGAAAGCGATTGGAGGCCACTGCCACCTTGAATGTAAACTGTAAGTAGTCGTATAATATTTAATAATATTTTTCAATAATTACGGCATAATCAGGAGTGGATTAATCTCCAGAAAATCCATATTAATTCCCTTTGAAAGCAATACTTCAATGAAAAACACTACTTGAAAAGATGATCCACCCACATTTCCATTCCCCTGATAATCGCTGCCATTACTCACACCACAGCCACTTGAGCATCATTAATAATTTCCACAGTCTGACATGGAAAATAATTTCCATAAATGGCTCAACTTGACCATCGCTAATTATAAACTTTGGGAGAGTCTCGTATATATTTTTTCTTGCTTCTATAAAGCCATCCATCCGACAAGTCGACCTTCTCTTAATTTGCATGCTATGCGGCAATTACAACACCATCTGAATTTCTGAACATTAGCATAATGAAGGAAGCAGACAATGAACACAGCCAGTTCTCGGCGTTTAACCCCGTGTTTTTCGCATTTCCCCTTGGAGTTTAGCCAATGCACATGACACATTTCGTTTAAAGTATTTAGATGCAACCCAGGCAACACCGCAAAAATACCCAGCAACTAGCAACACAACACAAGCGGCAATCGCATAATCGCATATATCTTTTTTAAAAAGCCAACAACAAAGCCAGGCACATAAATTACGAATGCTGACCTGAACCAACGACCTGCTGCTGACTGAACGCAAGTAATTAGAATACAAATTTATGTGCCACTCGTCGCAGTTGTTGTTTAATTGTTGTTCTTGTTGCTGCTGTTGTTGTTGTTGCAACAAGTGGCAGTGTATTAGTGAATGAGCGAGCGAGTGTGCGTGCGAGTGTGTCGGTGTGACCTGCTAGCTGTTAACGCTGGCTATTAGGGCTAATCAAAAGGCAAATAAAGTGAAATATTGCCCCGGCCGCCATGGCGAAGGCAATCGAGTGTTTGGGCCTACACCTATGCACAGAGCGAAAATAATGGGAGGTTTTCAAACTGAAAGGGGTTTAAAATCACCTATTAAGGTGGCGAAAAGTATGCTATAAAAATTAAAATTTAAAGTGGTGGAGTATTTTTTCTTTCGATATTTAAATTGGGTGCTATGGATCGAATTTAACGAATATTGTTGCACACTCCTTATGGAACATTAATAAATTATTTCAAAAAGCAGTAATTTTTTACTATTTCAGGATATATCATTTTATTTTCATTTTAATATTGTTGGGTTAAAAATTGTTTTATAAAATTTCCAACCATGTTCTTTCTCTGTACCATTGGTTTTATAGCCCTACTATTACCTATAGCCATGGCTATCAACTGAGTAATTAATTCAAAAACAACACACACATGCAGAGGCGGCTGTAATGGCCACAGAGAATCAGCGTTAGTGTTAGTACACGTTTTAGTGTTAGTGGTGGAAAGAGGACAAAATACAAGTGGGCAGAAGACCACGCTAATTGCAGAGAAATAGATAATTGTGAGAATGTGCAGGAAGTAATAAATTGTAAAATAAAATATAACATACAAAAAAAGATTTTAGAATTAAACAACTCTAAATTATAATTTAAAAAATTTTAAATATTACCAAAACTAAAAGTTATTCCATTCAGAATTTCCACTTTATAAAACCGCATTCCATTCAGAACTAAGCAAAACCACTGCGCATATTTTCCCTCACCACAGTGTGCCAATAATTAAGTATTGTAAACAACAACGGCGGCTGGAAATGCATTAAAGCCAACCGCCAACGTCGTCACACATGTCGTATGAGTAATGCCCACCTGATATCATGATATTTATATGCTAAAAATATATGTATAATCTACATAGTGACGTGAGCTACAACGCAACGCTAATTAACCGCCTCTTCAAACGGCCACGCCCACTTAAAATTGATTGCAACCAATCGAGGTGGATTTGTCGAAAACTAAAGCTAAAAAAAATTTGATACACATGTAAGAATGTGTGTTAAATATATAGGTCGCTTGCGGTTTAATTAGTTGGCCTCAGGGCCACGCCCACATTTGCATAGGAAACATTAAACAAATGCCCATAGATATGCACACACGGGTATCAAATTCATTATGTTTATCTAAAGTGTTTAGTCAGTCGGTAAAAACAGAAAAAGGTTTAATTACGAAAATATTAAAAAAAGTCAGTGGAGAAAAACCATAAAACCGCAAAGTAAATTTCGAGGGATTTGCAATTGTAAATGTTTATTAATTGCCAGTGCTTAGATTTATTGGTTGGAAAAAAAAACTTTTTTAAATACGTTTTAGGAACGACTACGAGAACAGCAACCTCAGTAATTTCAGGAAAAACTAAAGAATAAAAAAGGTTGGCACAAAAAGAATAAATAAATTGAGACCGTAAAGGATATGTGAACTCTGATTGTGGCTAAGGATTTTCCACTTGCGGTCACCTCCGGTTTTCACTGGGCCATTTTCCTTTGGCCATTTTCCCTCCCATTTTCCACCAGTAATGCGTTTTTAAGCAAGCAGAACACAGGGAACCCGAAGTAGATCAAACAGGGAAATGATGTCCTGTCTGTGTCCTGTCCTCTTTTCCTTTTGCCTTCAGGCATTTTGCGGTTGCTGCGGGCCAGAAATCTACAGGGAAAAGTAAAGGAAACTAAATTGGGGAGTTGTCAAGTGGGCAGAGGACTGAGAAAAAGCTATATAGAAATATATCATTTTATCATAAATAAATTTAATTTAAAAATTTTAAATTTAACAAGAGAGAACGCTATAGTCGGGTTTAATTATAAAAGTATTCAACAAATTGTTTTTAAGACCATTTTAATTTTACTGCATACTTTTCGACACCTTAAAATCTAGTATAATTCTAGTAAAATCACTATTAAATAAATCTAGTTAAACATTATTTTTCCTTGTGCACGCAACTTTAACCCAAGCAGTCAGTTGGTCCCTTTCTGGTTTTGTTTGCTTAGCCAACAGTTTGAGCTCTAAAATTAAATCAAAAGCAATTTAATTGAAATCAACAGGGGGAAAGGGAAAAGCGTGGCTGTTGTTATCCCTTTGGCCCTGTGATTTACGTCGGGGCAATAAAAATTCACTTTTCCCTGGTCCTTTGGTTCCGATTCGGTCTGTCTGTCGCCTGCGTGGCCCATTGACACCTACAAATTAATCAGAAAATGAGCCACGTTCTTGGCCTAATCTGCCGTAATAACTCATTGCCAAATGGCCGGCAATAAATCGCAGGGCCAAAAGCAGTGGAAATTGTCGCGCTAATAACCGCAAAATGACAAAATTGCCACGAAAAATCAACGATGGCAATAATTTCAAATTTCTGAGAGATGCGAGGAGGGCTTCGGGATAAAATGGAAGCGCAAAAGTCAAGTTTAATCTGGCCGGGGCTCTAATGTATTGCCTTTTGGCCCGCAGGGTTTCTTACCTTGCCTTTTCTATATTCCTGATGAAGCCAATCGGATCTGAAGGGCGAGGAAGTTTCCCGTTTCCCGTTAGCCGTTTTCCCCCCGAGTTTCCCATTTTCCACCTGCGAAAAGTAGGCAAGCAACAGACAGCTGCTTTACAGGGATATTTCGGGGATGGGGCTTTTGTTTTTGATTCTAAGCTGACAAGGCAGGGGGCAAATCTAGCATGGGCTTTATATTCCCCTTGCTTTCTTTTTTTTTTTGCTGTCAAATCTTTGTCCCCAGCAGGAAAACCGCTTAAGTTTGTTGGCGGCTTAGCGCCTGCTACGAAAAAAAAATACTAAAAAGCGGAAATAGGCAGGAATTTTCATGCAATTTTCATAGAAAGGGGCAAATGGTGTGGAAAAAGGAAGCCTATTAGAAATGAAAGTCTTACTTGGTTTGAAACTAAGTCAATTAAAGAGTTTAGGTGATATTTCTGGAATAGTTAAACTAAAAAAATTATACCATTTAATATTAACGGCATTCAACCTTTGTGATATTCCAAGAAATAAATCATCACTTAAAAATAAATCGGCGTATTATACAGCTTTAAAGTTTAAACGTTTAAAGTAACTAAAGACCCCTTGATGGAGATTCTTTTTACAAAAAAATCATAATTAAGCGATACTTGCTGCAAGGCCTGCAACCTCGGGAAACTCAATTTTCCCAACTCCTTTCCCAGGGGTCCATCATTTTCCATAGTTTAATGTCAGGCAATTAACTTTTGTCTGGGGCCCCCGAGAAGAGTGAAGAAAAACGAACGAGAGAAAAGTACAATGAGGAGTTGAGGAGAAAAGCGGGAGAAAAGTGGGGGTTCAGAGAGGAGTAGGCCTGTCACATGACCTGCCAGTCAGCGATGAGATCATGCATAAAAAAGCCAAAGGAAAAGCCGGGAGGAAAACCGAACCGAACTGAACTGAATGAAGCAAAACCAAAGCGAACCGAACCGAGGCACGTCCTCAAATGGAAATGGAAATGTTAAATGTAAATGCGGCATATGGAAAAAGCGGGAAACGACCTTGCTCTGTGTTTGGGCCTTAACACCCCGCAGTGGGTGGGGCAGACTTCCCGGGTGGAAAACTGAGAGGGGAAGGATCCGAGGGGAAAACTGGGAGCAGATTGGTAGATTGTCACAGGCAAATAGGCGGGACAACATGAAAATCAACCAAGCAAATGCCAATACACATGCAACGCCGGAAAGAAGCTGCCAATGCACCTAGAAAAATAATTAGTGCCTTGAATGAATATATTTTAAAATTTCAAAATAAATTATGAAAACGGTTTAAAACAAATTTCTAGAAAATTTAACTTTATTTCTCTTGAATAAATTTAAATGGTAATATTTTATTTTTACTTAATTTCATTTATTTATTTTTATTAATGGAATAAAACTTAAATTTATTTTTAAGAAAACTTAAACTTAAAGTTTCAAGCCCTAGTTGTCCACAATATTTTCCATTTATATTGAAATGTTTACCAATTGACCTTAGTCGTTTTCCATGGCACTGAAAACCATTTTTATTTACGTGTAAAAATAGAAATGGTCGAGGATGTTGCGGCTATGGCATTCAAGGATTCTCGGCTTAACATGGCGTAA